TGTATTATTTTGCTGTGTGTTTGCATATTGTCATGTAAAGAAGAAGACTCACCGGAGATATTATTTGTTGTATATCGGTGAGAACAATTCTTCTGTTATGCTTTGTGTTTTTGACCTACAGTGAGTAGAACTTTATTTTTGTTTCTACTTGAAGCAACTGACATGTGTATTTTTTGAGTTTTTATCACACTGAGAGTAAAAGGGACTGAGACATTCTGCGGGCTACTAACGCTACTCTGACATACATTACAGACAGGAGTGGCTGGGGTTCATTTCTTGGGGTGTATCTGCTAGGGCTGGGTAACCACAGAAAATTTTGTTTCTAAACTCGATTCGTTTTTAGGGGTCCATCGCGTTTCGTTTTTTTAAAGAATTCCGAAATTTTCCTTTTAAAAATATCAAAATTTACGAAATTTCGTATAATTACGAATCGATTCGTTAATGGCGGACGCGATTGCGCAATATGCTAAAAAACCTCCAAATGGGACAGGGGGAACTTCTGAAGCTTCCCTCTCCCTCTGTTGTTGACTGTTGGTGTGATAAAACAAACAACAACTATAAAACTTGCACCAGACATGCGAAAATAATTACGAAATAATTAGAAAGAATTACAAAACAATTACGAAATAAATTGAAAAAATTGTTTCGAATCTAATTTACTCCTCACACTATTCCTGCATGGCTCAATATTGGATCGTAAGCTAATTTAAATACAAATTAATAAAGAATTACGAAATTAACGAACAAAACCGCCCAAGCCTAGAAGAAACTTTGGCTGTTGCTGGGAGTGGTTATGCAGCTGAAGATTGAAGCCATTTGGAGTGCCAAGGAAACTGCTTGTTTACGTCAAGATTAATTCTCTCTACTGATAACTAAGTAGAGAGACTGTATTATTTTGTTGTGTGTTTGCATATCATCATGTAAAGAAGAAGACTCACCGAAGATATTATTTGTTGTATATCGTGAGAACAATTCTTCTGTTATGCTTTGTGTTTTTGACCTACAGTGAATAGATCTTTATTTTTGTTTCTACTTGAAGCAACTGACTCACGTGTAATTTTTGAATTTTTATCACACTGAGAGTAAAAGGGACTGAGACATTCTGCGGGCTACTAACGCTACTCTGACATACATTACAGACAGGAGTGGCTGGGGTTCATTTCTTGGGGTGTATCTGCTAGGGCTGGGTAACCACGGAAAAATTTGTTTCTAAACTCGATTCGTTTTTAGGGGGGTTTTGCGTTTCGTTTTTTAAAAGAATTCCGAAATTTTTCTTTAAAAAAGTTTGAAATATACGAAATTTCATAAATTACGAAATCGAATAACGAATCGATTCGTTAATGGCGGCCGCGATTGCGCAATATGCAAAAAAAACCCCTCCAAATGGGACAGAGGGAACTTCTGAAGCTTCCCTCTCCCTCTGTTGCTGACTGTTGGTGTGATAATTTATTTTTTATCACTGATAAAACAAACAACAACCCTAAAACTTGCGCCAGACATACGAAACAATTTCGAAACAATTACGAAACAATTATGAAATAAATTGAAAAAATTGTTTCAATTTTTAATTGCTCCTGCATGGCTCGATATCGGATCGTAAGCTAATTTAAATACGAATTAATAACGAATTACGAAATTAACGAACGAAACCGCCCAGCCCTAGTATCTGCACTATAAGTTTAATGCAGTTTGACGACACTTTAAAACTGCCATGATGCAATGTTATGGGATCATGTAATCTTGGAACGTCTTCAGTCTTCTTTGTCAAATAGTTCTGGTGCCTCACCAAACTACAACTCCCATGGTTTATTTATTTACTTATTTACTGTATTTGTATACCGCCTTTCTCAGCCAATTGGCGACTCAATAATATTGCTGAGGCCGATGCCCCCAAAATCTCTAGTATCTATGTTCCAATCAGACATTAGAAACGAAGAGATTAAAATACAATTATTTAATTTGCAGAGTAAAAATACTGGGTTTGAGCCATATTTGACTCTTCTGCATCATGGGTTTTGTAGTTGACCAGAGCTTCTCGGTCTTCTTTGTTCCAAAACAATCCTGTTTCCCAAAACAATTCTCCTACACCTCCATCTCTCTCCTCCATGTCATCACAATCTTCCTCCTCCTTTCACACACATCTTCTCTCACGGTCTTGGCAATGCTATCCTTTTCATATCTTCATTCCTGCCCTCCATATTTAACCCATTCTGTTCCTTTTGGAAAATCCCATCCCTTTCAGTATTGAGCTGGTAGTAGTGTCAAGCTTCATTAATTCTACAGTGTAGACATCCTTTGCTGCCCCAGATGGTAGAACCAAGTCTATTAGGCTTGGGCGATCAAGAAAAAAATTGGTTCTAAACTCGTTTCGTTTCTAGGGTGCGCTAGCATTTCAAAATTCTGAGGACTTCCGAAATTTAAGATTTCAAAATTTCGAAATTTCCGAAATTTCGTAAATTACGAATCGATTCGTTAATGGTGGATGTGATTGCGCAATATGCTAAAAAATCCTCCAAAAACAAACAACTACTATATTATATTATATTATTATTATATTATATTGTTGTATATTATATTATAATATTATTATATTATATTATTGTATATTATATTATTATATATTATATTATATTATATTATATTATATTATATTATATTATATTATATTATATTATATTATATTATTATATATTATTATAATAATTATATTATATATATTACATTATATTATTATATTATTATTATATTATATATTATATATTATATTATATTATATTATATTATATTATATTATACAATTATAATATAATATAATAATAATATAGTAATATAATATATAATAATATAATATAATATACAATACAATGCACCAGACATACGAAAATGATTACGAAATAATTACGAAAATTGGAAAAAATTGTTTCGATTCTTAATTACTCCTCACACTATTCCTGCATGGCTCGATATTGATAGATAGATAGATACGTTTTATTGATTGGCCTATTGGCCGTATCAAAACATTTAACACATAACACAATTAACACATAGTCATACATAGTCAGCATGGCTCGCTATTGGATCATAAGCTAATTTAAATACGAATCAATAACGAATTACGAAATTAACGAACTTGATCGCCCAAGCCTAAAGTCTATCAATTGAAGGGAGATTGTTAAAAGCGCGTCGTCCGCAAATAAGCTAATTTTGATTTTGTTGTCCACTCCCATTCCCTGTATTTCTTTATCCTTCCTGATTGCAGAGACCAATAATTCCATAACTAATATAAATAGTACCAGAGAAAGAGGGCAGCCCTGCTTCACTATTTGCATAATACTAATTACTTGAGTCCTTAATTATGACTTTAGCCCTGTTTTTTTGAATATAATTATTCTATTACATGTTGGAAACCCTCTCGAAAACCGTATTTTTAATTAGTGTTTTCATTAATTCTGCAGTGTAGACATCCTTTGCTGCCCCAGATGGTAGAACCAAATCTAATAATTGAAGGGACATGTTGACAAGCTGGAATATGTCCAGAGGAGGGTGACTAAAATGATCAAAGTTCTAGAGAACAAGCCCTATGAGGAGCGACTTCAAGAGCTGGGCATGTTTAGCCTTCAGGAGAGAAGGCAGAGAGGAGACATGTATAAATATGTGAGGGGGAGTCATAGGGAGGAAGGAGAAAGCTTGTTTTCTGCTGCCCTGGAGACTAGGACGGGGAACAATGGCTTCAAACTACAGGAAAGGAATGAGATTCCACCTGAACACGAGGAAGAACTTCCTGACTGTGAGAGCTGTTCAGCAGTGGTGCTTTCTCTCTGTTCCACAGTGTGGTGGAGGCTCCTTCTTTGAAGCAGAGGCTGGATGGCCATCTGTCGGGGGTGCTTTGAATGTGAGTTTCCTGCTTCTTGGAAGAATGGTTTGGACTGGATGGCCTATGAGGTCTCTTTCAACTCTATGATTCTATGATTCTAAGAACATCCTCAGTGGAACACTCTCTCTGACCCGGAGTGTGGTGGAGGCTCCTTCTTTGAAGGCTTTGAAGCAGAGGCTGGATGGCCATCTTTTGGGGGGGCTTTGAGTGCAATTTTCCTGTTTCTTGGCAAAGGGTTGGACTGGATGGCCTATGAGGTCTCTTCCAACTCTAGGATTCTAGGATTCTATGAAGTTACAGGAGTGTAGATGTGAACATTAGAAGGAACTTCTCAACAGGAAGAGTGGCCATGCAATGGAGGCAATTCTCTACGCAGCTGAAGAAGTCTTCTTCTCTGGAGGCTTTCACAAAGAACCTCCAGAGATGGAAAAGATGGACTTCCAAGGCTGATGGAAGTCCTTGGGTCTTCCATGGATAACCACCTATGATTTACTGCAGAGAGTTGAAAATAAGACTGATGGAAGTTCTTGGGTCCTCCATGGATAACCACCTATGGTTTACTGCAGATGGTTGAAAACAAGACTGATGGAAGTTCTTGGGTCCTCCATGGATAACCACCTATGGTTTACTGCAGATGGTTGAAACCAAGGCTGATGGAAGTGTTTGGATAACCAACTATGGTTTACTGCAGATGGTTGAAAACAAGGCTGGTGGAAGTCCTTGGGTCTTCCATGGATAACCACCTATGGTTTACTGGAGATGGTTGAAAGCAAGACTGATGGAAGAACCTACAGGACACTGTAGATAATAGTGAACCATATTAACACGAACAGCTTCCTCTCTAGGATGTCCTCTAGACAAGTCTATGCTAACCTCCGAAGTGGAAGGAAACCATAGAATCATCTGGGGGCCTCAAAAATTCATATTTTGTTGGACGTGGAGAGGTGAAACCATGGGTATTTTGTTCTATGAGTATGGGGTTCATTATTGCTTGAAGTCATGGTTGGAGAATCCATGGGTACAAAGGTCTCACTGTTAGGAAGACTGTGCATTCCAAGGCAAACCATAACCCAGTGCTTGACTTGGTCAAATGTTCACCAGAGCCCACCACCCAAAGTACTCTTACCTTTCTGAGGACCTCGAGTAATAATCTGCTCAGAGTCGGTGGTTGGTGCTGGAGTTGTCACCTCCACTGGTTTACATCCAGGGTTCTTACTGTCTTCTGCAGAGATGGGGGAGAAGAACATTATGAGTCCTAGGAAAATGGGACAACCACTTTGACCTAGTAGACTATACCGCAGGTTGGGGGAAAAGGCCAACGGGTCAGGTCAGGCTCATGGGCCAGAGTTTGAACATATCTGCTATAGAGTCTGGTTGAGTGTTGTTTGAAAACAAGACTGTTGGAAGTTCTTGTGTCTTCCATGGATAACCACCTATGGTTTACTGCAGATGGTTGAGAACAAGACAGATGGAAGTCCTTGGGTCTTCCGTGGATAACCACCTATGGTTTACTGCAGATGGTTGAAAACAAGGGTGATGGAAGTCTTTGGATACCCAACTATGGTTTACTACAGATGGTTAAAAACAAGACTGATGGAAATCCTTGAGTCCTCCATGGATAACCACCACCTATGGTTTACTGCAGATGGTTGAAAATAAGACTGATGGAAGTCCTTGGGTCTTCCATGGATAACCACCTATGGTTTACTGCAGATGGTTGAAAACAAGGCTGATGAAAGTCCTCAGGTCTTCCATGAATAACCACCTATGGTTTACTGCAGATGGTTGAAAACAAGACTGATGGAAGTCCTTGGGCCTTCCATGGATAACCACCAATGGTTTACTGCAGATGGTTGAAAAGAAGGCTGATGGAAATCCTTGGGTCTTCCATGGATAACCACCAATGGTTTACTGCAGATGGTTGAAAACAAGGCTGATGGAAGTCCTTGGGTCTTCCATGGATAACCACCACCTATGGTTTACTGCAGATGGTTGAAAGCAAGACTGGTGGGTCTTCCACGGATAACTACTTATGGTTTACTGCAGATGGTTGAAAACAAGGCTGATGGAAGTCCTTGGGTCTTCCATGGATAACCACCTATGATTTACTGCAGAGGGTTGAAAACAAGGCTGATGGAAATCCTTGAGTCCTCCATGGATAACCACCACCTATGGTTTACTGCAGATGGTTGAAAACAAGGCTGATGGAAGTCCTTGGATCTTCCATGGATAACCACCTATGGTTTACTGCAGATGGTTGAAAACAAGGCTGATGGAAGTCTTTGGATAACCAACTATGGTTTACTGCAGATGGTTGAAAGCAAGACTGATGGAAGTCCTCGGGTCTTCCATGGATAACCACCAATGGTTTACTGCAGATGGTTGAAAACAAGGCTGATGGAAGTCCTTGGGTCTTCCATGAATAACCACCACCTATGGTTTACTGCAGATGGTTGAAAACAAGGCTGATGGAAGTCCTTGGACCTTCCATATGGTTTACTGCAGATGGTTGAAAACAAGGCTGATGGAAGTCCTTGGGTCTTCCATGGATAACCACCACCTATGGTTTACTGCAGATGGTTGAAAGCAAGACTGATGGGTCTTCCATGGATAACCACCCATGGTTTACTGCAGATGGTTGAAAAGAAGGCTGATGGAAGTCCTTGGACTTTCCATATGGTTTACTGCAGATGATTGAAAACAAGGCTGATGGAAGTCCTTGGGTCTTCCATGGATAACCACTTATGGTTTACTGCAGATGGTTGAAAACAAGGCTGATGGAAGTCCTTGGGTCTTCCATGGATAACCACCTATGGTTTACTGGAGATGGTTGAAAGCAAGACTGATGGAAGTCCTCGGGTCTTCCATGGATAACCACCTATGGTTTACTGCAGATGGTTGAAAACAAGACTGATGGAAGTCCTTGGGCCTTCCATGGATAACCACCAATGGTTTACTGCAGATGGTTGAAAAGAAGGCTGATGGAAATCCTTGGGTCTTCCATGGATAACCACCTATGGTTTACTGCAGATGGTTGAAAAGAAGGCTGATGGAAGTCCTTGGGTCTTCCATGGATAACCACCACCTATGGTTTACTGCAGATGGTTGAAAGCAAGACTGGTGGGTCTTCCACGGATAACTACTTATGGTTTACTGCAGATGGTTGAAAACAAGGCTGATGGAAGTCCTTGGGTCTTCCATGGATAACCACCTATGGTTTACTGGAGATGGTTGAAAGCAAGACTGATGGAAGTCCTCGGGTCTTCCATGGATAACCACCTATGGTTATCCCAAGGACTTCCATCAGCCTTGTTTCCAACCATCTGCAGTAAGTCCTTGGGTCTTCCATGGATCACCACCTATGGTTTACTGCAGGTGTCCTCACCATGGTTGGAGACAATATCTGAATGCATTTAGAAATTTATCCAAAATCAATGGAAAATATGGAGGGAAAATTGGACTGTCAGGCCTAAAACTATAGCTTATCCTCATAAAATGGTTGAGAAATACGTTCTGGAGTAACCATGTATCCTTACCTCCATCCTCGCACACAACAGCAGTGGTCGTTTCCTGTGGTTCAGGCGTGGGTGTTTGAACTGGAGGAAAAGTCGTTGGTTTCTGAGGGATCTTCACTGGAGGGAAGGTTGTTTCTGGTCTCAATGGAACTTGGGGCGTCTGCTTTACGGGAATTGTAGTTTCTGGTCTTACTGGAATTTGAGGAGTCTGTTTTACAGGAATTGTAGTTTCTAGTCTCACTGGAATTTGAGGCGTCTGCTTTACGGGAATGGTAGTTTCCGGTCTTAGTGGAATTTGAGGCGTCTGCTTTACGGGAATTGTAGTTTCTGGTCTCACTGGAATTTGAGGCGTCTGCTTTACGGGAATGGTAGTTTCCGGTCTTAGTGGAATTTGAGGCGTTTGCTTTACGGGAATGGTAGTTTCCGGTCTCACTGGAATTTGAGGAGTCTGCTTTACGGGAATGGTAGTTTCCGGTCTTAGTGGAATTTGAGGCGTCTGCTTTACGGGAATGGTAGTTTCTGGTCTCACTGGAATTTGAGGAGTCTGCTTTACAGGAATGGTAGTTTCTGGTCTTACTGGAATTTGAGGCGTCTGCTTTACGGGAATGGTAGTTTCCGGTCTTAGTGGAATTTGAGGCGTCTGCTTTACGGGAATTGTAGTTTCTGGTCTCACTGGAATTTGAGGAGTCTGCTTTACAGGAATGGTAGTTTCTGGTCACAGGAATCTGAGGAGTCTGCTTTACGGGAACAGTTGTTTCTGGGACTTGAGGAGTCTGCTTTACGGGAATGGTAGTTTCTGGTGTCACAGGAACCTGAGGAGTCTGCTTTACGGGAGCAGTTGTTTCTGGGACTTGAGGAGTCTGCTTTACGGGAATGGTAGTTTCTGGTCCCACTGAAACTTGCGGTGTCCTCCCTGGAAAACGCCAGGAAAGTTAATAAGAGCAAAAAAATTGCATTGAGAAGTTTTTAAGTAACACCATCAAGATACAAATGCACAGTGAGTTGCTCTTCCAGCTGAGAGAGTTACCGTCCTCTCTGTAGCTTCTGTCTCTATGGAGTTACAGGGTTACTGGGAGAGAGTTGCCGCCCTCTCTGTAGCCTCTGTCTCTATAAAGTTATAGGGAGAGAGTTACTGGGAGAGAGTTACCGTCCTCTCTGTGGCCTCTGTCTCTATGGAGTTACAGGGTTACCGGGAGAGAGTTTCTGCCCTCTCTGTAGCCTCTGTCTCTATAAAGTCATAGGGAGAGAGTTACTGGGAGTGAGTTACCGTCCTCTCTGTGGCCTCTCTCTCTATGGAGCTACAGGGAGAGAGTTACCGGGAGAGAGTTACTGTCCTCTCTGTAGCCTCTATGGAGTTACAGAGAGAGAGAGAGTTACTGTCCTCTCTGTAGCCTCTTTCTCTATGGAGTTACATGGAGAAAGTTACCAGGAGAGAGTTACTGTCCTCTCTGTAGCCTCTGTCTCTATGGAGTTACAGAGAGAGAGAGAGAGTTACTGTCCTCTCTGTAGCCTCTTTCTCTATGGAGTTACAGGGAGAGAGTTACGGTCCACTCTGTGGCCTCTATCTCTATGGAGTTACAGGGAGAGAGTTACCGGGAGAGAGTTACCGTCCTCTCTGTAGCCTCTGTCTCTATAGAGTTATAGGGAGAGAGTTACTGGGAGAGAGTTACCGTCCTCTCTGTGGCCTCTGTCTCTATGGAGTTACAGGGAGAGCGTTACTGGGAGAGAGTTACTGTCCTCTCTGTAGCCTCTGTCTCTATGGAGTTAGGGAGAGAGTTACTGGGAGAGAGTTACCATTCCTCTATGGAGTTACAGGGAAAGAGTTACCGGGAGAGAGTTACCATCCTCTCTGTAACCTGTGTCTCTATGGAGTTACAGGGAGAGAGTTACTGGGAGAGAGTTACCATCCTCTCCCGTCTCTTTGGAGAGTTACCATCCTCTCTGTAGCCTGTGTCTCTATGGAGTTACAGGGAGAGAGTTACCGGGAGAGAGTTACCATCCTCTCCCGTCTCTTTGGAGAGTTACCATCCTCTCTGTAGCCTCTGTCTCTATGGAGTTACAGGGAAAGACTTACCGGGAGAGAGTTACCATCCTCTCTGTAACCTGTGTCTCTATGGAGTTACAGGGAGAGAGTTACTGGGAGAGAGTTACCATCCTCTCCCGTCTCTATGGAGAGTTACCATCCTCTCTGTTCATGGCCGGAATCACTGGGTTGCTGTAGGTTTTTTCAGGCTATATGGCCATGTCTAGAGGCATTCTCTCCTGACGTTTCGCCTGCATCTATGGCAAGCATCCTCAGAGGTAGTGAGGTCTGTTGGAACTAGGAAAAAGGGTTTATATATCTGTGGAATGACCAGAGTGAGACAAAGGACTCTTGTCTGCTGGAGCTAAGTGTGAATGTTTCAACTGACCATCTTGATTAGCATATAATGGCCTGACAGTGCCTGGAGTAAATTTTCGTTGAGAGGTGATTAGATGTCCTTGTTTGTTGTTTTGCTGTTGTAATTTTAGAGATTTTTTAATACTGGTAGCCAGATTTTGTTCATTTTCATGGTTTCTTCCTTTCTGTTGAAATTGTCCACATGTTTGTGGATTTCAATGGCTTCTCTGTGTAGTCTGACAGGGTGGTTGTGAGAGTGGTCCAGCATTTTGTGTTCTCAAATAAAATGCTGTGTCCAGGTTGGTTCATCAGGTGCTCTGCTATGGCTGATTCTCTGGTTGAAGTAGTCTGCAGTGCCTTTCATGTTCCTTGATTCTGGGCGCTGCGTTTGGTGGTCCCTATGTAGACTTGTCCACAGCTGCATGGTATACGGTAGACTCCTGCAGAGGTGAGAGGATCCCTCTTGTCCTTTGCTGAAGATATCATTTGTTGGATTTTCTTGGTGGGTTTGTAGATTGTATGTTGTGTTTCCTCATCAGCTTCCCTATGCGGTCAGTGGTTCCCTTGATGTATGGCAGGAACACTTTTCCTCTGGGTGGATCTTCATCTTTACTCTTGTGACTTGTTCTTGGTCTTGCAGCTCTTCTGATGTCTGAGGTGGAGTATCCATTGGCCTGGAGAGCCCAGTTGAGGTGGTTCAGTTCATCTTGGAGGAGGTGGGGTTTACAGATTCTTTTTGCACGGTCTGCCAAGGCTTTAATGATGCTTCTTTTTTGACTTGGGTGATGGTTGGAGTTTTTATGTAGATATCTATCTGTGTGTGTGGGTTTTCTGTAAACGGTGTGACCCAATTGTTGATCTGGTTTGCGGATGACTAGGACATCTAGAAAAGGCAGTCTTCCTTCCTTTTCTTTTTCCATAGTGAACTGGATGTTAGGGTGGATGCTGTTAAGATGTTCCAGGAACCTGTTGAGTTCTTCATCTCCATGGCTCCAAATGGTGAAAGTGTCATCCACATATCTGAACCATATAGTGGGCTTTTTGGTTGCTGTTTCAAGAGCTTGTTTTTCAAATTGTTCCATGTAGAAGTTAGCTATGACTGGGCTGAGAGGGCTCCCCATAGCTACTCCATCTTTCTGTTCGTAGAATTCATTGTCCCACTGAAAATAGCTGGTGGTGAGGCAATGGTGAAACAGCGCCGTGATGTCTTCTGGGAACCTCTGGTTGATGAGTGCCATGGTGTCTGCAACTGGGACCATGGTAAATAGAGATACCACATCGAAGCTGATCAGTTTGTCCTTTGTATTTAGCTTGAGATTGCTGATTTTTTCAATGAAGTGGGCTGAGTCCTTGATGTAGTGTGTTGTGAGCCCAATGTGGCTTTGTAACTGTGCAGCAAGAAATTTGGCTAAGTCATATGTGGGGGACCCAATGGCACTCACGATTGGTCTGAGTGGGGTGGAGTCCTTATGGATTTTGGGGAGTCCATAAAGCCTGGGTGGAAGGGCTTCCGATTTACATAGCTGCTGTCGTATGTCGAAGTTGATTGAGGAGTTTTTAATTAGAGTGTTGGTTTTTCTGGTTATTTCTCTGAAGACCAAGTATCCATACTAGCGAAAGGAGGAAACTTTGCTGTAACCGCCACCAGGATCCCAGTAGAAAACATCATTGCCAATGTCGAATCAGCAATTTACCGCCTCCCAGAGGAGGAAGCAGAAGAAGTACGAGCGGAAGCAGCAAGGATCCTGAAAAAGGCAAAACTCCCCTCCAGTAACATTACTAGGAAGGAAAGAGAAGCCATTAGAGACCTAAATTCAGATCCTGATATCCTCATTCTGCCAGCAGACAAGGGGAATGCCACAGTCATCATGCATACAGAGCAATACAAGGAGAAGATCAGAAAACTCCTGGACCCTACTATATACAGAAAACTTAAGCAAGACCCAACTTCCAAAATAACCAGAAAAACCAACACTCTAATTAAAAACTCCTCAATCAACTTCGACATACGACAGCAGCTATGTAAATCGGAAGCCATTCCACCCAGGCTTTATGGACTCCCCAAAATCCATAAGGACTCCACCCCACTCAGACCAATCGTGAGTGCCATTGGGTCCCCCACATATGACTTAGCCAAATTTCTTGCTGCACAGTTACAAAGCCACATTGGGCTCACAACACACTACATCAAGGACTCAGCCCACTTCATTGAAAAAATCAGCAATCTCAAGCTAAATACAAAGGACAAACTGATCAGCTTCGATGTGGTGTCTCTATTTACCATGGTCCCAGTTGCAGACACCATGGCACTCATCAACCAGAGGTTCCCAGAAGACATCACGGCGCTGTTTCACCATTGCCTCACCACCAGCTATTTTCAGTGGGACAATGAATTCTATGAACAGAAAGATGGAGTAGCTATGGGGAGCCCTCTCAGCCCAGTCATAGCTAACTTCTACATGGAACAATTTGAAAAACAAGCTCTTGAAACAGCAACCAAAAAGCCCACTATATGGTTCAGATATGTGGATGACACTTTCACCATTTGGAGCCATGGAGAAGAAGAACTCAACAGGTTCCTGGAACATCTTAACAGCATCCACCCAAACATCCAGTTCACTATGGAAAAAGAAAGGAAGGAAGACTGCCTTTTCTAGATGTCCTAGTCATCCGCAAACCAGATCAACAATTGGGTCACACCGTTTACAGAAAACCCACACACACAGATAGCGATCTACACCAAAACTCCAACCATCACCCAAGTAAAAAAAGGAGCACCATTAAAGCCTTGGCAGACCGTGCAAAAAGAATCTGTGCAGCCCACCTCCTCCA